TGTGGGGCGGCCTGTGCAGACCGGGCGGGAGCTCCAGGCGGCTCCGCGAGAGGAGGTGAGCGTGCTCGACCACGCCCCCGAGCCAGGCCCCGCCCACGGCGCCCCGCCCCCAGTCCCGCAGCTGGGTCCTTCCGGGGTGCAGGGTGAGAAGGGTCACACGGAGGGCGGATGGGCAACGGGGTTGTGGTGCTAGGTCCCTCGCCGTCCTTTAGCAGGAGAAACTGGGGGACATCTGCTTCTCCCTCCGCTATGTGCCCACGGCCGGGAAGCTCACCGTCGTCGTCCTGGAGGCTAAAAACCTGAAGAAGATGGACGTCGGCGGACTGTCAGGTGTGTGGGCGCTGGCAGAGGGGGTGCGTGCCGGGCCGGGCAGGCTCAGGGCCCCAGGGCTCCGGGGAGAGGGAGGCCCGGCTGTCATGGGAGGGAGGCTGAGGGTGTGCGGGCCGACCACGCTGGTCCTGGTCCAGGGGACTCCGCATTCACTCCCCGCCGTCTGCCGCCTGCGAGACTCCCCCCCTCCCCCAGATCCCTACGTCAAGGTCCACCTGCTGCAAGGCGGCAAGAAGGTGCGGAAGAAGAAAACCACCATCAAGAAGAACACGCTGAACCCCTACTACAACGAGGCGTTCAGCTTCGAGGTGCCCTGTGACCAAGTCCAGGTGCGCCCGACCTGTCCCAGCCCGCAGCGCTCAGCCTCCCACCCGAAAGCAGGGCCTGGGGCGAGGGTGCTCTCCACCAGGAGGCCCAGCCACTCAAGGCTTCTCCTTAAAATGGGGCTTGAGCATCCTTCCCCCCAAGCACCACCAGGAGGCGGGGCTCTCTAAGCAGGACCGCTCCAAAACCTCCACGCCCCGCCCCTAGGCCAGACCACTGCCTCCCTTCACTGACACCGAGATTCCGAGATACGCGCCCTAGCCCCATCGGAAACCTTGTTAAGCATGGGGCTGGTCCTTCCACTAAGGTCAGAGTTCCGCAGGTTCGAACCTCTTAGGAAGCTGCTCCCAGGAGGCTCCTAGCACACCCTCAGGGGCCCGAGGTTTAACCCCTTAGAAACCTGTTTGGTTCCTACTGGGGGGCACTGCGCTGGGTCAGGGAGGGAGAGGGGTCCTTGCCCAGGACCCCAGAGCTGCTCCCCCTGCCTGGCCCTCAGCGCCTGTCTCCTCTCCCTTCCCGCCCACCCCAGAAGGTCCAGGTGGAGCTGACAGTGCTGGACTACGACAAGCTGGGCAAGAACGAGGCCATCGGGAGGGTGGCCGTAGGGGCAGCAGCCGGAGGGGCGGGCGCGGCAGCGGGAGGGGCGGCCCTGCGGCACTGGGCAGACATGCTGGCCAGCCCCCGGAGGCCCATCGCCCAGTGGCACTCGCTGTGGCCCCCTGCCCGAGCTCGGCTGCTGCCTGCGCCCTGACCTCCACCCCAGCCCTGGCCAAGCCAGGACTCTGGCCCAGCTCCAGACTCCCGGGACTGGCCAAAGCCGGCCCAGCCTACCTTTAAGCCTTCTGTGGCCACTGACCTCCACCCCTGTCCAGACCCCCTGACCAGCCCTGCCCACTCACCCCTACTGCACTGGTCAGGAGGACTTTTGGACACACCCCCTCCCATGGACATCTGGCGAGCCCCAGGGACCCCTGCTGGGAGGGAAGCACTCCCTCCCCTCTCCCAGTGCGGCAGGGCCCTCCCCTCTGCTGTGACAATCAGCTACCCCAGTCTGCTGTTGCTCTGTCCCCAATGCCCCTCTTCCTACACAGCTGACCCTGCTCGCTCTGTTCCCCGGCCAAATAAACAATCAGCTGCCTGGTGGCCTGCCCTTGCTCTGGGACACAGGGTGGGTGGGGCTCAGCTCCAGGACCTGGAGCATACTGGGCAGGTCAGACTGAGGAGAGCCACCCCTGCTTATCTCACTCGCTCCTGACAGAGAGACAGAAAGCAAGAAATCCTTCCCGGGGAGATGGCCATGGCACAATCCCTCCTTCATTCTTCTCTCCGGATTTTGGGCACACATGTGCATGTGCCAGTGTGTTTCAAGCAGCCAGGACCAGGACTTGAACCACACGAGACTTCAGTACCTTAACCACTATGCCACCGGCTGCCCCCTGGAATTCAATATTTAATGACTGTGTAACAACCAGCTCACAACATTCCTTGAAAAATGAAGGATCAAGGGAACCAGCAGTTAGCGTAATGGCTATGTCGCTGGACTCCCATGTAGTCGACCACGGTTCGCGTCCCGGATCTGGTGGCCAGGGGCGCCTGTGTGTGTGCCCAAGATCCCGAGAGGAGAATGGAGGAGAAGGGATTGCGGCGTGACCATCCCCGCTAGGGGGTGATTTCTCGCTTTTTGTCTCTGTCTCTCTCTGTCTGGCGAGCGCACGTGTCCTATAGTGAAAACCTCTCCAAAAAAAAATTAAGGATCAGACAGTGCCCTTGGGTGAGAAACCCGGCGGCAGACCCTGCGGTCTGAAGTCTGGGCCACCTCTGAAGTCTGGGCCACCTGTAATGTGGATTCAGGATTCCATCCGTTCTTTTCTGGTAGAGGTTTTTGCCTTAGAGCATGCTCACTGAAGAGAGAGACATAGACAGTGAGAGGGAAAGTGAGAAATCACCCCCCAGGCAGGGATGCCTACGCCGCAATCCCACTCTCCTCCCAGGATCTTGGGCACGGGGCACAAGCCTGGTGTGAGTTTGAAGCTGCCAGGCCCGGGACTTGAACCAAGGGTAGCCATTTAGGAGTCCAGCGACTTAACCTCTATGCCATCTGCTGGCCCCACCAGTTCTTTTCCAATTTGAAGCAGCCCAGGCTTCCCGCATCCCAGGAATTTGAACCTACCTAGAAGACATCCCAGACTCCCAGCCACGCCCCTCTCGCCGGGTCGTCGTTATGACGACCGCGTCCACACACTCAAGAGCGGAGCCGCCCCCCAGCTCTGCCATTGGCCAAAAGTTCCTATTGGGAGTATTCCGCTCACTTTTATTGGCCAGTTGGTCGCAGGGCTGCAAGCCTACATGCTCCCATTGGCTGATTGATCGGAAGCGGCGGGGGCTCCGGGCAGCGGTTGTGGAGGTGCGCAGGACCCCAGCCCAGCAGCAAGCAGGGAGGGTGGGAGCGACCCGGGATATTTGGAAGGACAAAGGTGAGGGGATGTCACGTCGAGGCCAAGGGCGAGGAGGGTCGGTGAGGGGACGGGGCTGGCCGTGTGTGGGGATTCCCAAGATGTCTGTCCCGCAGGGCGATGACCACCCCGGCGGGCTCGGGTACGGGCTTCGGCTCCGTGTCCTGGTGGGGCCTGTCCCCGGCGCTGGACCTGCAGGCTGAAAGTGAGTCCCCCAGCCCAGGGCCACACTCGGTTTGCCACCGCGGCTGCCTTCGCAGCCTGCGCAGACGGCCTTTAAGGACTGTAGTCCAGAGTGGGCGGCAGGGGGCGCGCCAACGCTCTTCAAGGCTCGAAGGCAGGGGCGCGCCCCAGTATCCTCTCTGCGGACTACGAATCCCAGAATGCATAGAGGCACCATTTCCTTTAGAACGCAGACGTAACCGCAAGGTCTGCTGGGATTTGCAGTCCACTTTTCTGGGGGCGCCTGGCCGAGAGGCTGAGGGGGCGTCTCAGACGACCGCAGGCCCCGGCCCGCTGTCGCCTTGCCAGGTCCTCCTGTAGCTCCAGATTCACAAATAGACACAGAGCACACGACCCCCGAGCTAGACGTGCTGCTGCTGGGCTCCGTAGACGGGCGACACCTGCTGCGAACGCTGGCCCGCGCTGCGCTCTGGCCGCGCAGGAAGTTCAACGTGAGCTGGGATTCTGGGGTCCTCGGAGGAGAGGGATGAGGATGAGAAACAGGCTCCTGAGTGTTTGAGGGAAGAGGAGAATGAGATTCCAGATTGGAACAAGCCTGGACTCTAGGGTCTTAGGGATGCAGCAGCTGGGAGCTCCGACCCGCGTCTCATGGGGAAGGAAGGGGAAGGGGGTGCCCTAGTGATGACAGCGAGTTCTGGGGATCCATACGTCTGTCCAAAGGAGGAGGCTGAGATAGGACCCCTGGGTCCGTGGAAGGAGGAGGCCGAGCCCCCCTCTCCTGGGTCTCCTGGAGGAGAAGCAGGTCCCTAACTGTTCTCCCTCTGCATCCTTCCAGTTCTATGTGCTGGAGAACAACCTGGAAGCAGTGGCCCGACACATGCTGCTCTTCAGCCTGGCCCTGGAGGAGCCTGAGAGGATGGGGCTGCAAGGTCAGCTGGTAGGATGCAGGCATTTTGGCCCCCCTCCCTGGCCTGCTTTCTGCAGGCTTCTGGCATTCCACCCGTACCCGTACCGTTCACGTATTTGACGAGTGTACTGTTCCATGATTTGCGACCTCAGAGCCTCGGCTTTTCCTACCTGTAAATGGGACTAAGTATAGGTTCTCCTAGAGCCACAGACAATTCTAGGAGAAAGCCGCATGGTACCCGGGACAGTTCGCGACCACCTAAGCCTTCCAAGTCTCCTGTGGGAAGGGCCGGGAGCGGTCAGGCTTCCAGAGGTGGCTGGTCCTCCGCCGCGGGAAGGCAGGTGGGACGCTCCCGGTAACAGCGTCAGCTTAGTTCCTAGAACAAAGTCTCTGGACTACCTGACTCTGCTTGCTCAGGTTCTGGCTTTTCTCACGTCCCCATTTATAAAACAAGGCTCCTGAAACTTTCTCCACCAATAGGAATCTTGAGAGGATTCGGTGAGAAGGACATGGCGCCTGGGTTTCGATGTAGGCTCAATACAGTGCAGTAATTTTTTAAAAAAGAATTATTTATTTATTTATTTGAGATTTTCATTGGTATAGGGTGCGTGCACTCGCCAGAGAGACAGAGAGACAGAAAGAGAGAACTCACCCCCCAGGGGGGATGGCCATGCGTGATCCCTTCTCCATTCTCCTCTCAGGACCTTGGGCACGCACGCACAGGTGCTGGGTGTGAGTTTAAACCACCAACTATGTGAGAATCCAGTGAGGTAACCATTATGCCATCGCTGGTCCCAAAAAGGATTACTTAACATTATTTATTTATTATTATTTTAAAATTTGCCATAGGAGGGAACCAGCAGTTAGCGTAATGGCTATGTCGCTGGACTCCCACATGGTTGACCGCGGTTCGTGTCCTGGACCCGGTGGCTTAAAACTCATGCTGGGCGCGTGTGTGTGCGTTGCCAAGATCCCGAGAGGAGAATGGAGGAGAAGGGATTGCGGCGTGACCATCCCCCCTGGGGGGTGATTTCTCGCTTTCTGTCTCTCTATCTGTCTTTTACACGCCCTATAGCAAAAACCTCTCCCCCCACCCCCACCCCCAAAAAAAAGAAAGCCTCCAGGTCTAGGACTCAGACTACAATCAGCCATGCGGGAGTCCAGTGCTCCAACCACCGCACCACCTCCTGGTCCCGTGATTACTATTTTTATCATAATTATAGATGATCACTGTGATTAATAGCTCAGGGCATTCAGAATACATTGCACAATATATTTTTAATTTTTTATATATTTTTTCTCATTTTTTGTACTTTTTTATTTTTATAAAGCAAATATTACAGAACCTTTTTTTTTTTTTTCCAACAGAGAACTTTACATTACTTTGTCTGTTAAATGTCTCTTCCCTTTGGCCCTCCTACCTACCCTCCACCACCCACTCCCCTCCCTGACAGTCTCTGGTATCCGCACTGTCCTGTCTGCTACCACACCTCCAGATCGCTCCCTTTCTGCCAGAGTGCAGACCTCTGGAGCACACTGAGTGGGGATATACCGTGTGTGTCTTTCAGAGTCTGGCTCACTTTGCTCAGCAGTAAGTCCTCTATATTCTCCCACTTTGAATCAGATGATAGGGTTTTATTGTTTCTTGTAGCCGAGTAATATTCCATAGTATATAGAACAATATATGCTAAGATTCTTGAGCAACTAGAACTAAACAACTAAGTAAAGGCACATAGGTCTCTTCTAGATTTCTGCCACAGGGCATGTGTGCTCACCAGAGAGAGAGAAAGAGAAAGTGAAAAAATCACCCCCCAGGGAAGATGGCCACACTGCAATCCCTTCTCTAGTCTCCTCTAGGGGTTTAGGGCATGCACACACATTCCCGGTTGATTTTGAGCTGTCAGGTCTGGGACTTGAACCGTAGCCAACCACATAGGAATCCAGCATCTTAACCATCAGGCCACCTGCTGGCTCCCATGGTTCTTTTTATTTATGTATTTATTTATTTATTTTTGAGAGGTTTTTTGCTATACGGTGCATGTGCTCGCCAGACAGAGAGAGACATAGAGACAGAAAGCAAGAAATCACCCCCCAGGGGGGATGGTCACGCCGCAATCCCTTCTCCTCCATTCTCCTCTCGGGATCTTGGGCACGCACGCACACGCACCCAGCGTGAGTTCTAAGCCACCGGGTGTGGGATGCAAACCGCGGTCGACTACGTGGGAATCCAACGACATAGCCATTACACTAACTGCTGGTTCCCTGTTCTTAAAGAACTAAAGCAAAACAGCTTATACAATATATAGGTATAACAGATGCCTATGTGTGTGCTTGGGTGTGTATCACATACAGCTGAAGGTGTGTAATCCCCACTGGCAAGATTCTTAGAGAAATAAAATGAAACAGTGCAACTGTGTAACTTAAAAAAAATTTTTTTATTTGACACACATAGCCTTCCAGCACACCCAGGACTGGCCAGCACAACAGTGTAACATCTGAACACACACACCTCATCTCCATCTGAAGTTATGGGTCACCTTTTCCTTTTTCTGTTGAGATTTTTGCTATAGGACACCTGTGCTCGCCAGAGACAAACAGAAAGCGAGAAATCACTCCCCAGAGAGATGGCCATGCCACAATCCCTTCTCTCAGGATTTTGGGCATGCATGCATATGCACCCAGCGTGAGTTTCAAGAGGCCGAGTCTAAGACTCAAACCCTGGTCAGGCATGTGGGAGTCCAGTGATGTGTCCATCTGCTGGTGCCCCCCCCCCCTTTTTTAAGAGAGTTTTTTTGCTATAGGGTGTATGTACCCACCAGGAGACAAAAACAGTGAGAAACCATCCCCCAGGAGGAATGGCCACACCACAGTCCCTCCTCCACTCTCCTCCCAGGGTTCTGGACATGCATGACCTTTGGGTCCCAGACTGGAACCATGGTCCACTAACTGGAGTCCAGTACCTTGACCGCCATGCCACCTGCTGGCCCACACCTTTCCCTTTTTCAAGGACAAGAGAACTTTAGACAGTAAATTCAGGATTGGGTTCCGTGAGGGCTGGGGCAGGAGTAAGTGAGGAGCCCTAGGCTAGGGCCTGCCATTCACGGTGCGGTATTTACTGGGACAGGTGAGGAGTTTGCACGTTATATGACTCTCCAATAATGACAAGACATTAAGGGTCTGATTCCGGGCTCACTCCTCTGCCCCCCATTCTCTCTCCTTCCCCTAGAGAGGACCGAGACCTTCCTGGAGGTGTGGGGGAACGCGCTGCTCCGCGCCCCGGCGGCCGCCTTCGTGCGTGCCCAGGCCGACCGCCTGGCACACCTGGTCCCGGAGCCCGACCGCCTGGCGGAGCAGCTGCCCTGGCTCAGCCTGGGCGCCCTCAAGGTGCCGCAGCCCAGCCCCCCTGGTCGGGTCACCGCTCGGGGTCTGGGAGGCCCGGGAAGAACGGAACGCGCAGTCCAGGAGAATTCGAGCTGATGCGGCGGGCGCGGGGCTCGGGCGTCTGAATCCCACGGTGGGACTCGGCTTAGGGCAGGGGGCGGCCGCTCTCAGCTGTTTACTCGTCCAGGAAACGGGAGACGGTTCCCAGCCCTGGGAGCCCAGCGAGAAGCAGCCCTCCCTGCAAGCCCTTCCTCCTCTCCCCGCGCACCCGCAGTTCCGCGAGCGGGACGCCCTGGAGGCGGTGTTCCGCTTCTGGGCCGGCGGCGAGAAGGGGCCCGAGGTCTTCCCTATGAGTCGCCTCTGGGACTCGCGGCTGCGCCACTACCTGGGCTCCCGCTACGACGCCCGGAGAGGTGTCAGCGACTGGGACCTGCGCATGAAGCTGCACGACCGCGGGGTGCGGCGGGGGGGAGCCGGGCCGGCGGGGCGGGTCCGGGGGCGGCGCCCGGCTGCAGGTTCGCGAGGCCTCCCCTTCCCTCCCGGACCCCAGGCTCAAGTCATCCACACCCGCGAGTTCCGACGCTGGAGGGACACAGGCGTCGCCTTTGAACTCAGAGACTCCAGCGCCTACCATGTGCCCAACCGGACGCTGGCATCGGGTCGCCTTCTCAGCCACGTGCGTGTCCCCTCTGCGTCCCCCTCCCCGCTCCTTTCCGGGACCCAGCAAGGAGTCCCAGCACGGACCTCAGCGCCTCCTCTCTCCCCGCCTCCCCAGCGCGGGGAGCGCGTGGCAGCACGGGGCTACTGGGGAGACATCGCCACGGGACCCTTCGTGGCCTTCGGCATCGAAGCGGACGACAAGAGCCTCCTGCGGACCAGCAACACCCAGCCGGTCAAGGTGTGCGGCCGGCGGGCTGCGAGGCCCCGCCCCCAAAGCTCGGGCCCCTCCTCCGCGACCTAGGCCCGGCTCCTGCTCTGAGACCGAAATCCAGCCCGGGGAGTGAGGCGGCTCGGGACTTGAAGCCTTGGACGCAAACTCTCGCCCCGCCCCGCCGCTCTGGCCCCGCCTCCGCGGGCTTACCGCGTTGTCCGGCCACGCCCCCCCCTCCCGCAGACCGCGGGAGACATCACGCAGCACAACGTGACAGAGCTGTTCCGCGAAGTGGCCGCCTGGGGGCGCCCGAGAGCCGCCCAGGGAGAACGGAGGGTCCAGCGCGGGGATGACGCCCTGGGGCCCGCGACTTCAGGGGACACCCGGACTTCAGGAGAGGCCCAGACTTCAGGTGAGCTCCGACCTCAGGGGAGCCCCGACTTCTGGCTCCAGGCATTTCAGGCCCCGGCTTGGACTGACACAGTTATATGGTTTGCCTGAGCAAGTGACCTCACCTACTCTGTTTCCCCTTTCCTGACCTGTCCTTAAGACTCTGAATTCCAGCAGAATCTTTCTTTAGAATTATTTATTTATTTATCATCATTGTTTTTAAATTTGCTACAGGGGACGTG